CGACCGTAAAACATCTCACGTATACCAAACCGAATGTTGCCCTTCTGACCAGCACAGGGGTGTGTGTGATGTGATGTCGACCAATAGCTTTCGGGGTCGATTCAATTGTGAATCGGACGGCTAAAATCGCTGCAGAGGTCAGCCCAGGAATTCTTCTAGAAGCGATAATGGTCGAGTGTCAGCCATGAGTTCGGAATTCTGGAAACACGCCGGCTGAGAGAACCAACGAATGGAGGGAAAATGTGAAGCAGTAGGGTACGCGATTTTGCTTGCCTCATTTTAGATCCAAGAGATTTAAATCTTCATCTCAGGTAAGGCACACATTTGGATCGTACAATGTACAACTACTAAAACGTTGTGCATCATGTCATGCTCATACAAATAAGAATCAGAGGCCCTGATTGTAGTCAGGTGAATCCCATCGCCTGGAAGACATGTCTAGTTGTGCAGACGGGGACCTTTGGTGAAGGTTTGGCCGCCGAGCCAGAGGGGCAGGTCCGGGAGAGCGGCTCGGCCTGGGTGCAGATTGCTCCTGATAGCTCCCAGGACCAAAATGCTGCTGCTGATGTTGCTGCAACTGCTGCTGCTGAATCTGAGATGAATTGCTATTTCCTCCTGGGCCAACACCTGAGCCAACACCTGGGCCAGCACCTGCCCCAGCTCCTGAGCCAACACCTGGGGGAGGGTAAGCCCCAAATCTACCACCAGCACCACCAGCCCCACCACTGCTGCTGCCACCAGCGCCAGCGGCAATCCCTAGGTGACCATGCTCGGGTGATATACTGTGGGAGCGACGGTGGGCGTGGGGACGGCAGGGGGGCATGGAAGGGGGGGAGGGAGCAGAGAATATGGTGTTGGGGGAAGTGACGCCTTCAGGAGAGGGAGGGAGGGCAGCGCTGTAACCACTGCTGCCACCACCACTGCCACTGCTGATGTAACCACTACCTGCACCACCACCACCAGTGGCCCCTCCACCTGTACTCCCTGAGGCAGAAGACGATCCATTCCCGAAAGACACACTGTAGTTTCCGGAGCTACCACCACTGGAGCTTCGGGGGAGGCCCGGGCGAGGAGGAGTGGCCCGAGCCTGTGCCTGCTGGTGCGGGAGAAATCCACTCTCTGTCTCCAGCCCTCCTGCTCCCGCTCCTCCTCCTGCTGCTGCTGCTGCTGCAGTAGCTGATGCTGTTCCTCCTCCTGCTGCAGCCATGGCTGCCGCGGCTCTGATCGCCTCCTGACCCTTGGATATCTGCCGCATCAACGGCCCCATGCGGATGCCTGGGGGCGGCACCAGCACGGGGCCCAATGGCATCCCGCCACCTGTCGCCGTTCCTGTGGCTCCTCCACCACCCCCTGCTGCGTCAGCTGTTAGAGCAGGCGGGCCGGGAATAGCAGCAGCTAGGGCCGGGTTCATTGAATTCGCCCCCAGATCGACCATGGGCAAATTAGGGTTTGCACCAGCGCTGCCGGAACCAGCAGGAGAAGGAGCAGGAGGAGGAGGAGGCTTAGTCATGGGAGATGCATTTCTGCTGGACGCCTTACCAGTCGGGGGAATGTTGCTCGGTGAACTCTGGGCCAGATTCGCGATTACACCAGGTGGATTAGGGTTACAAACAGGGTTACCAGTGCCGGGCAGAGAAACGTGAGTGGATATGAGCTGCTTCGGCTGTGACTGGGACCGTTGGAGAGGAGTTCGGCGCGTTGGGGGCCGGTCCAAAGAGGCTCCCCCGCCTGCTGCTCCCCCCATCCCCCCTCCCCCTAATCCTCCCCCTGATACTCCCGCCATCGCTCCTCCCCCTGGACCCCCTCCCCCAGGCCCGGGCGAAGTGAACCCTCCCCCTGTCCCCCCAGCAACAGCGTTTAGCGATGTGAGCGACTTAGGGTAACCACCTGAATGCATGGACGAACTAGGTGGCGTGAGTGGGGGGGGTGCATTGAACCCTCCCGGGCCCATGCCTGCCACCATACCTGCTGCCATGCCTGTTGCCGAACCTGAATCCTCTGCCGAACCGGCTGACGCGGATCGTGGTAACCCTATTCTGTAACGGTCCGAGGTGCGAAGCCTCTCTCCAGCAGCTGGTACACCAAAAGCCCCGTTATTAGCTACTCCATTAGCAGCTACCATTCCACCTGATACAGAACCACTCATATTCTCCGTACTGTACCCAGGCATACTATTTGCACTATTAGCAGCATCGTTATTACCGAAGCTGCTACCACCTAAGAGGCGGAAGAGCGGCGGGCACGGCGTGGGCAGCAGAAACGCGTGGTCTAGGAGCAGCATAGCACTCGGACGGTTCGCCGGGTCGCGTTCTAAGCACCGTCGCAACAAACTCCGACACTCTGGCGACACTTCCGCCGGGATATGTGGCACCTCGAACGTGCTCCCTATCATGTGCAACACCGCGTCTCGATCACACGCCCGCGCACCACCGCCGCCGCCCGCCGCGAAGCCCGCCGCTTCGAGCTGCTCGGTCCAGGGCGGCTCGCCGGTGATCATCTCGAGAACCGTACACGCAAACGACCAGATATCAGCGGCGCAGCCCTGCGCCTCCTGACGGACCACCTCCGGCGCCATCCAGCTGTACGCCCCCGCACCTTGGAACCGCGCCGGCGGCGGCTTCCGCGCGCCGGCGGCTTCCGCGGCGGAGCCGTCCGCGGCGGGGGCGGCGGCGGCGCGGATTGCGGAGCCGAAGCTGCAGAGCTTCGCCTCGCCTTTGTCCCCGTTCAGGAGCACGTTGGCGGCCCGGATGTCGCAGTGGACGATTCCGCGCGCGTGCAGATCGCGCAGCCCCTCGCAGATCCCCCGCGCGTATCTCCGCACCAGGGCCTCCGGTAATCTCCCGCCGAACGAGGACATTAAGTCCGCAATGCTGCCGCCCGAAACGTACTCCATAAATAGGTTTCTAACCCTAGCTCCTGGAACGGCAGCGTCGTCTTCCCAGTCCGCGCCCAATAGCCGCACGACACGTGGCGAGCCACGAAGCTCCTCGAGGATCGCCTGCTCGTTGTCGAGCTGTCGCATGTCGCGCGGGAGAGCGCGCGACGAGACGGATTTCGCGACGAAGATTTGACCGGAATCGGCGTGAAGGGCGAGGTGAGTTTTGCTGCGCGGATCGCCGCCAAGCTGATGTCCGCGAATCCATTGCGGCGGGTCGCACGGCGGCCCCTGCGACAGGCCATGCGACGATCCGTGCGACGACCCGTACGACGATCCGTGCGGCGATCCTTGCGACGATCCGTGCGACCTGTTCGACATCGCGGACGACGGTCGCGACATCGGGCCTGCGGACGATCCAGGTCGGGATGGAAGATTGTACTCGAGCTGGTGAAACCCGTTATTAGGCCCGTACGCGCCTCCATTAACGAGGATGTTAGGCTTGGCGCCAGAGTGGACCCCAGGGTTGAGCTGTTGCTGAATTGAAGAGTTAAAAGGCTGGTTAGAAAAATAATTATTACTAATCTGGCTACTATCGACGCGCAGAGGATCTAGGCTGGCGGACCGCAGCAGGTTACGCCGGCCCTCGGCGAAACCATCAGACTGCATCGCGTGTGCTGTTGGATGCGCGGCAGCGACTAGCACTTGCCTAGGATCACGCAAATGCAGTAACCCTATAATCAGTACATCAAGAGCTAGTCGTTCGTGCTAGAGCCCTGCTTGCGTTCACGGGACAAAAAGCCAGCAGCAGAAGTTCAGTACAGTATATAGTACGGGGCAGTATTCAGTAACTGGGAGTGAGCGAGTGACTGACTGATGAGCTGGGAGGAGTGAGAGGAGGAGACCACAAGGCCGTACGGAACGATAATAAATACGTGGTGGAAAGCGATGCAGAGCGAAGGGCGATGGCAGATGTACGTGTACACACCTCAGGCTGGGAGGAGACGAGGTTCGGGAAAAGAACAGAGGGAGGGACTGCAGTGCCGAGCCCTGCTGCTGTGCCGAGCCGTGCCCTGAAGTGAACGAACGAACTGTGCACTCGCAGGCCACATCAGCTCACCTGCCCTGCCTGTCCTCATTCACCACGTCCGGGGCGGCAGCATCAGGGGGGAGGGAAGGGAACACCATGGCCACCAGTTTTCAATCCAGAAGCGACACACTACGGGTCAATATGACATGTACAGTACGAGGATGTTTTTCACTGCCCAAAGAGCCAGATTTGCCTGGAGGCTTGGCGGTGGCGAGGAGGCGAGATGAGCCGGGCAGGCCCCAAGCTCGCCTACAGTAGGAGCCTCCATCGATAGACCAAAACCGGCCACTGGGCATTACTGTCCGTCCATTCAAAACCTCGTTACACTCATACTCCCAACTTAGTTGGAATGGAACGAAATAACATGTAATATAAGTTTCCACTGTTCTCTTGTCCCTCAAATAAGAGAGTGAGGCAATAAACAGCGCAGAATACACACGGTATTCATCTAGAGAACATCCATGTATGTAGCAAATTACATCCAAATTAGTGTATAATTCTGTCATTTATTATTGCCACTATTCCCATTCGACAGTAGCTGGCGGCTTGGATGTGATGTCATACACTACCCTGTTTACACCACTCACACTGTTGCAGATGCGAGCCGATACCTCACGGAGAAACTTGGTATCAAATTCAAACCTGTGAAGTGGGTGAGAAAGGAAGACGACGAGAGCGAGAGTGGGAAGATGGGTGAGGGAGGAAGAGAGTGAAAAGGGAGGGTGGTAAATTGTGTGGGGACGGAAATACACCTGCAAGTCCAAGCACCCCATCCCACCTCACCCCACCCCATTCCATCACACCCCCACCAACCACAGCCACAAGTCCAAGCATCCCATCCCAGCCCATCCCACCCCATCCCATCCCATCCTCACCACACTCCACTCACCAATCAGCTGTCATGCCATGTTGGCTGGTGATCGCCAGTGCGCCTGTTGCCCTGCACTCCCACGGCCCGTCCCTATGAGTCACCAACTTACTTCTAGGCATCCCCACCCTACCCCACCCTACCCCACCCTACCCACCCCACTCCACTCACCAGTCTGCTGTCATGCCGTCTTGGCTGGTGATGGCCCTCAAAGCCACCACATGGGAGTGGGTGCGCCGGTCCCCCTGCACTCCCACCGACCGCACCGGCAAGAAGACGGCAAACGCCTGCCAGATCTGATCGTACAGGCCGGCCTCCTTGATTGCATTAATGAAGATCTCATCCACCTGATGCCCAGATGGACCACAGCCAAGGGGACAGGACCAAGGGAACAGAGAAAAGAGAGGGGAACAGGGAAAAGAGAGGGGAACAGGGAAAAGAGAGGGGAACAGGGAAAAGAGAGGGGAACAGGGAAAAGAGAGGGGAACAGCAAGAGGGGGATACGCTCAATTATTGTCAGATCTGGTCGTACAGCCCGGCCTCCTTGATACCGTTTGATGAACATCTCATCCACCTGAAGGGGAAAAGGATCAGGGGGACATCGAGAGGAGGAGGAAAGATGGGGGGGGGACACTCAGCGCCTCACATATCTAATCGTACATGCCCGCCTCCTTGATGGCATTGATGAAAATCTCGCCCACTTGATGGGGGAAGGGCAAGCGGGACGAGGGGACCAGACGGAGAGATAGAGATGAATGAGGCAGTGGAAGAACAGGTTAAGGGGGGCACTGAGTGCGTCCATTTCGAAAAACACTGAGTCGCATGGGCAGAGAGTCACTTTGGCAGCTGCACTGCCAGGAGTGACTCTCCGACAACTTTGCTGACCATCTCGTCCGGCTTGTGGTTCAAGTGCCTTTTGAGGCGCCTCAAAAACCCTTTGGCAGCAGCACTGCCGGAAAAGACCCTTTGAGCTCTTTGCGGACCATCTCTTCTGGCTTGTGGATCGGATGCGTAATGGAGCCTTCGAAGCTTACTTGCACGAAGGTTTTCGGAGCATGCTGAAGCAGATGAATGGGGTGGACTTTCGAGCCCTCGCACGAGTTATCGACTGGTTCCCAGGTGTGATAAGCGGGGGTGGACGAACACACACGTCCCCAGCACCCGAACTGCAAGGTTGGACGCACCTGAGCAGCGGTGCTAAATAATGCTATCTGTTTATCATCTGCAATAACAGCTGAGCAGCTCTTACCTGGCGGATGGTGTCGAGTGCCCCGTCCGCACACAAATCCCCCAGCGCCCGGACCACAAGGCCAGGCCCCACCTGAGAACAGATGCTACTTGTGCTGCTGATGCTATGTGTTCATGACCCGCATTATTGAGACGTCTCAAAAGATGCTACTTGTGCTGCTACTTGTGATGCTACTTGTGATGCTACTTGTGATGCTACTTGTGATGCTACTTGTGATGCTACTTGTGATGCTGATGCTGTGTGTTCATGACCCGCATTACAGCTCAAAAGCATTTCAGCACCCACCTGGCGGATGGTGTCCAGTGCCCCGTCCGCACACACGTCCCCCAGCACCCGAACCGCAAGGCCAGGTCCGGGGAAGGGGTGGCGGGAGAGGAAGGAGGCGGGGACGTTGAGGAGAGCTCCAATCTTGCGCACCTGGGAGGGGGCGAAGGGGAAGAGGAGGGAAGACGAGGGAAGAGGAGGGAAGAGGTGGAAGCAGGAGATGGGTGAGTGAGGGAGGAAAGGGGAAGGTGAGAGCAGGTGACGGTTACTGAAGTAGAAAAAGCTTAACCTACCCCCAGTTATTCCACTTATTGACACTTAATCCGGCTCATTCCACTCCCCTCCCTGTCTCCCTGCCGTTGCTCCCCATCCGCATCACACTTTCCTCTCAGCATACTCCTCTTCCCTCCCCAAATCTCCCTCCTCCCCCCCCCAAAAAAACACCCCACACCCCTCCGCCACCACCCGCTCCACTCCTTCCCTCCCGGACCCCCTTTTTGCTCTCCTCCTCCCCTTCACCTCGTCCTGGAACGGCCATTTGAGGGGCTCCACGAGGGTAAACGACATATTCTCAAATGAACCAACCCACCCACCTCTCCTATTTTTCCCTGCGCCCTCCCTCACCTCATCCTTGAACAGCCACTTGAGGGGCTCCACGAGGGTAAAGCGCATATTCTCGGGTAAACCACCCACGTTGTGGTGGCTCTTGATGGTGTGCGAGTGCTTCTTCCCACTGCCAGGCGGCGGGCACGACTCAATTACGTCCGGATACAGTGTACCTGGAAACAGGTTTGGGAGGAGGAGGAGAAGGGGGGGGGGGAGAGAGGGTGAAGGGGTGAGAGGAGGGAATTTGCACACGTCCGGATACAATGTACCTGGAAACAGGTTGTGTTGACAGCTCAATCACGACCAGGCACAGAGAGCTTGAGAAAATGTTGGGAGGGTGGACCTTGCACCGGGGCCTCTTCCCCGGGGCCTCTTCCCCGGGGCCTCTTCCCCGGGGACTCTTCCCCGGTGCCTCTTCCCCGGGGCCTCTTCCCCGGTGCCTCTTCCCCGGGGCCTCTTCCCCGGGGACTCTTCCCCGGTGCCTCTTCCCCAGTGCCCAGCTTGAACCCAGCGCCTCTTCCCTCTTTCCCTCGATCCCCCTCGCTTCAATTCACCTCTTACGGTCACAAGCCCACACAACCCATTCTGCACCTTGCACCGGGGACTCTGGTAGGTGCCCCAGCTTCGCCTCCAGTTCACTCGCAAAATCATCAAACACGCCAATGAACTCCGCCCCGATGATGCGCCTCTACCTCTCGGGGTCCGTGACGCCCCTGAGCTTGGAGAGGAAGCGATCAGACGCGTCCACACAGGTGACTGGCAGATGCGCCTCTACCTCTCGGGGTCCGTGACGCCCCTGAGCTTGGAGAGGAAGCGATCAGACGCGTCCACACAGGTGACTGGCAGATGCGCCTCTACCTCTCGGGGTCCGTGACGCCCCTGAGCTTGGAGAGGAAGCGATCAGACGCGTCCACACAGGTGACTGGCAGATGCGCCTCTACCTCTCGGGGTCCGTGACGCCCCTGAGCTTGGAGAGGAAGCGATCAGACGCGTCCACACAGGTGACTGGCAGATGCGCCTCTACCTCTCGGGGTCCGTGACGCCCCTGAGCTTGGAGAGGAAGCGATCAGACGCGTCCACACAGGTGACTGGCAGATGCGCCTCTACCTCTCGGGGTCCGTGACGCCCCTGAGCTTGGAGAGGAAGCGATCAGACGCGTCCACACAGGTGACTGGCAGATGCGCCTCTACCTCTCGGGGTCCGTGACGCCCCTGAGCTTGGAGAGGAAGCGATCAGACGCGTCCACACAGGTGACTGGCAGATGCGCCTCTACCTCTCGGGGTCCGTGACGCCCCTGAGCTTGGAGAGGAAGCGATCAGACGCGTCCACACAGGTGACTGGCAGATGCGCCTCTACCTCTCGGGGTCCGTGACGCCCCTGAGCTTGGAGAGGAAGCGATCAGACGCGTCCACACAGGTGACTGGCAGATGCGCCTCTACCTCTCGGGGTCCGTCACACTTGAGCTTGGAGAGGAGAGGAAGCGATTTTCTCCCCTCTTTCTCACTCCCTCTTGCTTCAACCCAAGCCGCACAGCAACAACCAAAGCCGCACAGCAACAACCAACCACTTGCCCTGCAACAACCAACCACTTGCCCTGCAACAACCAACCACTTGCCCTGCAACAACCAACCACTTGCCCTGCAACAACCAACCACTTGCCCTGCAACAACCAACCACTTGCCCTGCAACAACCAACCACTTGCCCTGCAACAACCAACCATTTGCCTTGCAACAACCAACTACTTGCCCTGCATCAACCAGCCACTTGCCCTGCAACAACCAACCACTTGCCCTGCAACAACCAACCACTTGCCCTGCAACAACCAACCATTTGCCTTGCAACAACCAACTACTTGCCCTGCATCAACCAACCACTTGCCCTGCAACAAATTGCATCTTCCCGCGGCAGCAACTAACCCACCTTGCACCAGGCACTCGGGTCGGTGGCCCAATTTCGCCTCCAGTTCACTCGCAAAATCATCAAACACGCCAATGAACTCCGCCCCGATGATGCGCCTCTTCCTCTCGGGGTCCGTGACGCCCCTGAGCTTGGAGAGGAAGCGATCAGACGCGTCCACACAGGTGACTGGCAGATGCAGGTCTGCCTCAAACATTGCCATCACCCGCTGCTGCTCCTGGAACCTGGGGGGAGAAAGAGTATGTGTGGGGGAGGGTGGGCGGGAGGGTGTGGGTGAGGGAGAAGTGTTGAAAAAATAGGGGTTCGGGTTAGGCCTGTGTCTTCTCCCCCGCAACACTACAGAACCTCACTAAACCCCTCACTAAACCCAGCTAAATCCCTCCTAAACCCCTCGCCATACAACACTCACTGCAGTTGTCCGTTTTCCACAAAAATACAGCGCAGGTGGTCACCAATCGCGCGGTGAACCAGCGTGGCCTCTACAGTCGAGTCACTGCCCCTTTCTTTCACTACATCACCACTTCAAAACCACATAGAACCGCACTAAACCCTACAGAAACTCACCGCAGCAGCCCATTGTCGACAAAAATGCAGTGCAGGCGGTCCCCAATCGCCCTGTGCACCAGCGTGGCCGCTACAGTCGAGTCAACGCCGCCCGACAGGGCACACACCGCATGCTTCACCGGCCCCACTGCCGCTTGGACGGCTGAGATCGCCTCATCCAGAACCTCCTGCATCTGCCAATCAGCGTGCGCGCCCCCGATGTCAAAGACCACACGGTGAAGGGTCTCCATGCCCCTGGGGGTGTGGGTCACCTGCGTGTGTGGGAGAGAGGGATGAAGGAGTCAGAGTGCGTGACCCCTGAGAAGGTGTGTTTTGAGTCGACTCAAAACACACCTGAAGGAGTCAGAGTGCGTGACCCCTGAGAAGCGGTACTGCGATTTCCCCTAAAGCTGAAATGAATGTGTGCGTGCAGTACCCTCGTGGTCTCTCCCTTTAGGAACTCGCGCCCCTCTCTCCTCTCTCCTCTCTCCTCTCTCCTCTCTCCTCTCTCCTCTCTCCTCTCTCCTCTCTCCTCTCTCCTCTCTCCTCTCTCCTCTCTCCTCTCTCCTCTCTCCTCTCTCCTCTCTCCTCTCTCCTCTCTCCTCTCTCCTCTCTCCTCTCCCCTCTCCCCTCGCCCCTCGCCCCTCGCCCCTCGCCCCTCGCCCCTCGCCCCTCGCCCCTCTCCCGTCACGCACCTCAGGGTGGTATTGCAGGCCGAATATCTTGCGTGTCGTGCACTCAATCGCCACCACCGTGCCCTGATCGCTGCGCGCCACCACTTTGAACCCCTCTGGAAGCTTCGTCGCCTCGTCTCCATGGCTCATCCACACCGTCTGTTGAGGACAGGGGTTTATGATGAGTCAGGACTTTAAAACGAGACAGGTGATTATAACGGGGTCGGTTTTTTAAACGAGACAGGTGGTTATAGCGGGACCAAGTGCTTGCAGCGGGGACAAGAAAAACGTTAGTAATATTCCACGATGGCTTCGTCAACTCGTCGCGGTGGCTCATCCTCAGGGTTTGTCGGGGACAGGGTTTTTGTTACGAGGCAGGTCACTGTAACCAGGACGATATGTGAAGTTCGAAAACCCCTTGAGAAGCTTGTTAACAAACAGAACTGGCACAATGGCATCTGTGATGGTAACCGATCACCTGTCGCACATAGTGGTGGTAACCCGTTACCTGTCGCGATTCATTCTTCGCCTTCTTCTTCTCAGGTTCCTCGCCTCCCGCGTCGCTCCCGCCAAAGAGCGCCGAATCACAATCCGCCACGATATCCATCCGTCCGTACTCCTGCGCCTCGGCTCGTGCCACGTCACCACCCAACGTCTTCACGATCAGCTGCATGCCGTAGCAGATCCCAAGAACCGTAATACCCTTCTCTATCGCGTAGTCGAAAAAACCCGCGGGAACCGTCGGCGAACCTTCCTCGTGTACGGAGTTCGGCCCACCGGAGAGAACGATGATCGTCGGATGGACGGCCTGGATCTGATCTAGCGGCACGCCGGCCGGCAGGCTGACGGAGTAGACTCCGAGCTCGCGAATGCGGCGCGTGATTAGCTGAGTGTACTGCGATCCGAAATCGAGCACGAGCACGACGGATCGTTTTGACGACGTTAAAACGGACGGCGGAACCCCCTGAAGGGTTTCTGAAGGGGTTACTGGATTTTCAGCAACGGCATTCGATGCGGTTTCATGGCCATTTTCTGCAGCTGTCGCCATGATTAAATCTAATCTCTTTCGCGATCCTGTGCTGGGGTGATCACTCCACCTTTTACCGATCGGAAAATGTCGCCTGGCGGCAAAGTCGTTAGCAAGGGACCTAGCCCCGAATTGAGGCGACGAATGGCTTCTGACAGCCTTGAGAATGGAGGTGGAGGAAGAACCAAGCAAGCAGAAAAGAGAAGCAGACGAAAGGGACATGAGAAGCAAAATCTAGGTGATAGAAGGCAAGGCAGGAGGATTGTAATCGAGGGAGGCTGTGAAAGTTGGAAGTTGAAACGAGATGCTTGACACGCCGCGGCGGGGTTCGCAAACTTGACCGTTTCAACTTGTTGGACAGAATATGTTCGACGCGCAGTCGAAATGACAGTTTCCAGGGCTGCCCGTCGGACGAGCCTTGAAAAATTCTCGCAGTTCCTAGAGTAACCTCCAGAGGTTTCCCCATGAAGCACCTACATATTCAGCAGTGAGCGACAGTTTTAACGAATCAATAAAATAGTATAGGTGGGATATACAAAATAAACAAAAACACAAGCACTGTGCAGGTTTCACAAGCTATATTACACGTTTCCCAAAAAGGAACACTCCTTTCTCTTCACTCCGTGTATTCTCTGTTTCATTTCCTTCAGCATCATGTATGGTGCGGTTATGTACAGATGCGTTTATGCCATGAGTCGCGTGTTCATGGCGGCCTATTGAGTGGACCCGCGTCACCTGTACACCTCCCGTAAGTCTGCTGTCGTCATCCATATTTCCATCCCTCTCCATATCCACAGTCGGGGAAGACAACTGTATGATCGGCTCTTGTTGTACCACCGTAACTTGAGGCACTAGTGCTTGTGTTTCATGATGACGAAACCCCGGATATGCAATCCGCTGCTGCAGTTTTTTAACGTCACTCCCTTGCTGTAGATTGTCCTCGAGATGCCTCGCAATCAGGTCTTGTGCCCATGCACTCCGTGCCACAATCATACCACCCCTCGCATGGACACCCCCTGCCGTACCTGTCAGCAGTGCCGCCGGTCCAGCCATAGGTCCGGCCGAACCCCTCTCCTCCCCTACCAACCCGCCTGTGGAAATCGCCGAACCTGCTGCCGGACCTGCAGCATGCAGTGTGTCCGGTCTCTCAGGCACATGCGTATTCAACGACGAAAACCCTCTGGTGGTTCGCATAAGCGCTGCCGAAAAAGCCGCTGCCGATGCCGATGCTGCTGCCTCTTTGTCTGCCTGCTTCGGCTGGTAAGACCCCTCTGTAGCTTGCAGCTGCTGCCGAGCACTCCCAGCGCCCCAGCTGCTGCCGCTTCCGCCGGCCGGATCGAGCCCTTGTGCAAGCAGCCGGGAACGCTGCCAGAGATGTTGTTGCTCGAGGGTAGGCAAGGAGGGGCCTACCAAGGATGCTACAGTGGCAGCATGGACCATGACGGGAATGGGAGGCGAGAGCGAGGAGGAGTGGAGAATGGCTGTGGGATCGGAGAATGAGGATGCATGCACGGGCGGGGATGCAGTGTTGGTAGCAGAGGGAGGCGGTGCGGCAGGGGTGAGAGGAGGGGAAGGAGCGTGGAAGCGTGGAACGTGCATGCCGAGAGCGTCTATGGCTGGAGTGTGCACGCCTGGAGCGTGCATGGCCGGAGGAGGGATAGTGTCAAAGCCTTTCAGGTGCGCGTGCGGGCCTTGAGAGGCCTGAAAGGCATGAGAGGTCTGTGAGGTCTGAGAGACCTGAGTGGGATGAGAGGCCTGAGTGGCTTGAGAGGTTTGAAAGGACGTCAAGGGAATTTTCTCACTGGATGGCAATCTGTGCACCACACCTGTCAGGTCAGCCACAGCAGCAGACACACCACCCTGCGAGGATGGTTTTTTTATACTCTCAAAAACACCTGTCGGATTAGCCGCAGCAGCAGATGCACCAGCCTGTGAGGCTGACCAATCAGCAACAGCAACAGACGGGGCCGGGCTGGGCCAGGGGACTACAGTGGTGGTGCCGAGGAGAAAAGCTGGGGCACCCTTGAATTGCTTCCCATCAACAGCATTTCCATCAGCAGGATAGCCACCAGCAGCATTGCCATCACCAGCAACAGGAGCAGACGGGGCAGGGGCGGGCCAGCCGACTACAGTGGTGGTCCCGACGAGAGAAGCTGGGACACCCGTGACATGCTTCCCATCAACAGCATGATTATCACCAGCATTGCCACCAGCAGCATTGCCACCAGCAGCAGCAGCAGCGCTGGCGTAGGCTGCTGGAGCAGCAGCAGCAGCTGAGGCGGATCGTGGCCATGAGAGGGACCCGAACCCGACCGGCCGATTCAGCCCGAGAGACAGGTCGTGCTGCAGAGGAACGGTGAGGCTCCGGGTGACTGTCGCCGCGTTTTGAGGCGCCTCAAAAGTTACTGTCGCCGCGTTTTGAGGCGCCTCAAAAGTTACTGTCGCCGCGCCTGGTTTCAACAAAAAGGCCTCGTTAGATTCGCCTCCAAATTGGTGGCCGGACAGATCCATCGGAGCACTGCTAATGGCATCGTCCGCGTTACCAGCATCAACATCAACAGTATCAGCAGCGCCACCGGCACCACCGGCATCGCCTCTACCTCTGCCACCACCGCCACTGCCACCGCCACCACCACCACCACCACCAACACCACCGCCACCACCAACACCACCGCCACCACCAACGCCACCACCAACGCCAGCACCAACACCACCGCCAGCACCAACACCACCGCCAGCACCAACACCACCGCCAGCACCAACGCCACCATAGCCACTGCCGATTTGGGATCCTGAACCAATTGGATATACCGGACCGTCTCGAGGCTCTGGTCCTGGCGTAACATCCATGGGAGCCCAATCTCCGGAAACTTCTGAAGGCGACGTGCTGAATGACTGGCCTAGACCTTCCATCTCTGCACGCCCATGCGCCACAGCATGTGATGAACGGTTGGGTAAGGGTGCACTCTCGTCCCATACATGCTGCGCCTGAAGCTGCTTCGGCGACCTTGTGCTGCTGCTGCTGGTGATACGAGTCGGCTGCTCCAGCTGGTGGTGGTGCTGACGCGGCTGCAGCTGAGGCTGTTGCTGGGAGGATGCGAGCCGGGCGCGGAGGTTGCGGGCGATGGCCGCAGCAAGCATCTTGTTGCTCGAGTCTTCAAACTCCCGGGACGCTGCAGAGCCATCTCTCCTTGCCTTGCCACGCCCCCGGGGAGTGGTAGCAGCAGCGGCAGTACCATCGGCAGCCAGCATGTTGTTGCACGAGTCCTCAATCTCCCGCGATGCTGCCGTTGATACTGCTGCTGCTGCAGAACCATCTCGCCGTGCTTTCCCGCGGCCCCGGGGAGTGGTAGCAACAGCAGCGCCAGTACCATCAGCAGAGGCAAGCATCTTGTTGCATGAGTCTTCAAACTCCCGGGAAGCTGCCGAGCCATCTCTCCTTGCTTTCCCGCGCCCCCGGGGTGTGGTAGCGACAGCGGCAGCGGTACCATCAGCAGAGGCAAGCATGATCTTATTGCACGAGTCTTCAAACTCCCGCGATGCTGCTGCTGCTGAACCATCCCTCCTTGCTTTACCGCGGCCCCGGAGAGTGGTAGCAGAAACGGCGGCAGTACCAGCAGCTGCAGCTGTAGCAGCAGCACCTCCGCTCCCTCCGCCGCCTCCGCCGCCGCCAGCGGCCGCGGCGGTGGCGAGCGGCTCGCGCTTCCTCCTGCTGCGCTCCCGGGGAGACCCATCATCGATTAGGCTTTCTCCTTGGCGCTTGTACGCGGAATCCGGGGGAGAAAACGCCGTCCCCGCAGCCCCCGAGGAGGCAATTTTCGCGGCTCCAGATGGCGGCGGGCTGCGGAAGAACGGCGGCACTATGACTGCCGCCGCCCCCGCCGCTACCCCTGTTGCTGTCGCTCTCGCTGGGGTTGGACGCGGCACGTCCGGATTCACAGAGTGGCTGTTCTTGATTGGGGAATCTTCACAATGTGATAGCACGTGGATCTTCGGACTCTGCTGACTCTGGAGCAGCGCTGTCGGCGTAGCTTCGCCGAATTCGTCGCCTGTGTCGTCAGTTCTCTCGCCCGCTGCGTCACCCACCTCGTCGGCCATATCGTCGCTCGCTCCTCCCGCCGAGTTGCCGCGCATTCCGCCGTCCATTCCGCAACCCGTTTCTTTCGCCGCAGTGCGGCCAGTGTCAACTTAGTTCAGTGTGTGATTGAAGCTTCGACTCACAGTCAAGTCTCGCCGTTTCACCGCCTTGCGAGCCGGAACCGCTTCTTTGAGAAGTCCGCTTGATTTTTGCACGTCCTAATCGGGGATTGCCGCCGCGGCTCACCACTGATGCATCTTGTCACGTAACCTGTGGATCGAGCGACGGTTGCGGAGACTGCTACAACGTTCTACCACTACCACTATACTAACGAGATCAGATGGTTGCGGATTACAATGAGTCGTTCCGCACGTCCTACTACTAGTAGTGCGAGTAGTAAGTCAGGATCTCTCGGCTCGAGATCAGATGTAGTACGAAGGGAGAGGACACGGCGCGGCGCACGTTCACGGCACAAATCGTGGTACTGATACCACTACAACAACTACGTGAACAGCGAGCAGCGACACATTCTGATTCTCGATGATCCGTCGGCTGTTTATCTACTATGCCATGCTCTTGTTTCGGGCCGAGTGAGTGATTTGCAGCTCTGGTCTGCCAGACCAAAAAGGTCGGGGTCTGGTCAGCGTCGCATCCCGGATTTCCGAAATCGTTCGCAGCGCGGAGGTTGGTAGGATCCGAAAGCCCAGTCGCACTACTACCGGCGGACCGGAACATGATACTGTACGTCGAATTGCGAAACTAGTCACTAGAATTGCGGAGCATACAGCAGCTCTGAATGAACTGTTAATCCCTAGTAGTGCGGCGCAAGGTCGCAAACAGAGCCTGGGTTGCCTCCACAAAAGGTTGCGATTGCGAGGCTGTCACTCTTGTACGTATTCGAGTAAATATTCGGCAGAAAACTGTGTGTGCCCCTTGTACTGTGTGTGAAGTACTGTACTCTGTCTTGCACCCTACTACACCACTCTGTGTTGTGTTCCTTCCAAGGAGTCCTCGCCTCGACTCCTTACCTCAGTGGCTATCGATACCCCGCCCTCGCAAAGGAAGATTTTTCTAAAAATTCAAGTCGTTCGCGTGCCTCCGGTGCGGTGCGGAGGTGCTCCTCCGCGTGCATGTGTGTGCAGAGGAGTGGATCAGGGCGAGCCTTGACCCTTCCATTGGTCAATTTGAACCAAGAAGCTTGTGATTGTGCATCACTTGCTGACTGCCTTCCCATCCCATTTGAATGTGGATGGTGTTCAGGTCACGGGTGAGGTGATTCCTTCCCATTGAAGGTTCTTTGGTGAATGTCGCGACGCGAACGAATGCATCTTTTTGGGCCATGCTGTGAACTTCAACCGCAGCACTGGCGAACTGTTGACGAGATTTTGTACAGGAGCCAGTTGTGGGAGTGGTGTGGTGCGCGGGCATGCTTTGCAGCACCGTCCACTAAGGGCGTGTTAAATCGCAAACTCCAAAAATTCGGCCACAATCCGTCGGGCCGTATTTGCGAAGGTAACCAGTTTGCGACAATCGTAAGTTATGTAGCGACCGTCGCAAATATCGCTAAAATTTTACGAATTTGATGGCCGTTTAAAAAGTCGACACGAAAACGACCCCGAGTCGACTCCAAAACGGCCAAGTAGTCAACACAGTGTGCGACAAGCGCCTGCGACGTCGCACGGCATCGCCCAACGACAGAATTTGTGATCGCGTCAAATGAGAACTATCGCCGTCAAAAGTGCGACCTCGTCGCACAGACTAAACTACTGTAGTAACTGCAAATTTTACAACTTTTCCGAGCCAGCCTGCAATCCGGCCACCAAAGTTGTTAAATTGCCAAAACTGTAAATTTTGGCTGTTACATAGACGACTCTGATTCGGCCACCTCGTCGCTGTTCGCGAAAAATATGACGACCATTTGGTCGTCGAAAATTCGGCCAGACCCTATTTTCGGAATTGTGTGGCGATTTAACATGCCCTAAGGGCGTGTTACATCTTCGCTTTTTTAAAATAACGAACCGGACCGTCAGAACGGTTAAACGTGGTTTATCTGTAGAACGCTTTGTTCAAGTGGGTCTAAATACGTTTCAGAGTGGTAGCTGGCCGAGCCGTCTGGAAAATTCGAGATTGTGACACGCCCTAAACTCGGCCCGTTGTCCGAGATCTGGGAGGTGGAACACACATTGGTGATGGCATTGACCCAGACGTGCGTGCATTTGATGAGCAGGTTGGTGGTTGTGCGAGCCAAAAGTTGTGTGCACCACCCAGAACAGCAGCACTGAGGGGGGAGGGGGGTGGGGAGGAGCGGCTCGTTGGCATTGAAAGCGGGTCATGACGGATTGGGGGGAAGTCCGAAGCGCGCATTTTGGGTTGAATCTCAATAATGACACACGCAGTGCTAACACAGGCTTCTACAAATTTTCTTGTTGCCTGTTACGGTAGGCTGCTGATCGGTCGCAAAATGCACGGGTGTGTGAAACATGTGCACTGCTTTTTCCTGGACAGTTGTGTTGGTCGATTTGGAATCACGAAGAAACTGGCAACATTTTGCACATGCGATGGGTCACTTCGTCTTTGTACATGCACTGCATAAACGGCAAAATCCGTGCACTTCGAAGACAGCACAGTGGCGGTTAGTCGAGCAAGGAACCACGACGAAATTCACAAACGACTCCTCTGTTTCTCATGCTGGCGTCACCAAGTAAAGCCTCCACATCAGCGGGACCAATCTCGATCGAAGACTCGTCGAGATCGCTCGATTATTGTCCAATCGCGACGTGTGCATGTGAAGAACTGCCTCTGTGGAGGTAAAAGTGGCAAATTACCAAGAGACCACGTGCTTGCCGTTTTGTGTTGCGTCATGTACGTTCCGAATATACCGGCACGTATGCCGCTGCTATTTAAAGACAATGGTACATGCTCTCGCACTTGCAGCTATATGTAAAAAAGAGAGCTATAAATTCATGTTAGTGAGGATGAGAGAACAAAAAAATTTAGCAAATTAGGAAACAAAAAGGACACGTCCAATGAACAGGGACTCTGAGTTTGGGTGCCGAGAGGGAGGTTTTTTGTTTAAGGGATATTATATTCGGTAAAATATACATTGATTACGATGATGGTGTTGAGACTTTAAATGGTGAATGCAGGAGCTGACTTCTATCGAATCCCATCCAGTAATGACGTGGCGTAGCATAATCCACAATCTCCTCGTACTGATCACACTACCACCTGCACTTGCCAAGTGTTAACTAAAGTCCAGTCTGGCAATCCCAAGCCAATGATTGGCGGGCCAACCATCATCAGCCCCTGTGCACTGTTCATCAGTGCTCTTTAATCTTTGGAGCTCGAAGCGCACCAGGCGTCTATTTTCCGAGCGACCGACAGCCCGCCTTACTCTGCGGAAGTGACACGGCGAAGTCATAGTTGACTTGCCTGTGTTGCCACTCGCGGATGCTTGTTACATCGCTTTCCATATATCCCGCATTCGATTCCGTATCACCAGCCAGGAAAGAGGCATTTAGATTCTTCAGACGACGGGAACACCGTCTAAGTAATTATCCTCCTCTATTAGTTACAATGGTGTCGTGTCTTCGCGCGCCCATTGTTCGCCCAATGCTCCTCCGCTCCCCCTCCCTCTCCGCCTCCACTTCCGCCGTTGCCGGAGGCTTCCTCCAATCACTGAGTGCCACGTCACCGTCGATATTACTCCCCCCAGCGTGGCGGAACCGGTTCGCTTCCGCCGGGTCGTCCGCCAAACCAGCCTCCCCCGCCA